TGAATCATATACAGATTGCAAAAATTTTAGGCATGTTAGGCAAGCATGAAAGAGTAGTGACGAAAAAGCAAGAGAGTAAGCGTTAAGGAAATCATCAAACTGCATACTTAATTAATGTATGTTTATATTATTAATTGAATTGAATAATTATTTCATCCATATTGGGAATAGGACATTGGTGTATAACTCTACCCTGGATTATTTTTAAAACATATGGATTTTCCAGTGGGAGAAATTACAATTTATCAATGAACCAATGAAAATAAGGTTAGGAAGTCTAAGATTTTAGCGCTAAATTCGTTTATTCACATTGTAACGATATTAAAAATCATTACATGTGACTCAGTATTGTTTGTTTGAATCTTCCCATCGATGTTTTAGGACTGCAACTGGTCAGTCTCTAATTGGCATATGTGCATACTGTGTGTATTGCCTCGATATATCCTTAATTCACAAGCATGATAAGCAAAGATGGATAGTGGCTGAAAGTGGAAGCCAGTTTGATGCGCGTTTCGTCCTATTTGGGTATCGTCAGTTGGATGTACCTGTATTGCAGAGCTGATGTTCACTCTGGGACTCGAACCCAGTACCGTCAAGGCAGTATCGAGGCAATACGCACATCCAGCTGACGAGTCCCAAATAGGACGAAACGCGCGTCGTGTAATTCACTGCTAGCCACTATCCATCTTTGCTTACATTACATGCGACGTTACAAATGCGAGTTTGTTTTTCTTATTGCATGGCAACAAAGAGTAAGCGCACTGGAAGAAGAAGAAGAAGAACGAACTTTACGCGATATGAACCTGAAGAACAACGATTAAAACCATTTTGTAATAAGTTCCCCTTTTTGTACTCGAACCGCGTTTTTTTATTTTAAAAGTATATCTATCGTGCCAGTACATTGCGTTCTTACTTCAGAGGCAATTACCAGTTTTGACTGTTGGTTCAGATTGTTCCTGCTTCCAAATGAACGTCAATAGATAACATGCTATAGCATTTAATAGTATTTTGGTATTATAGATGTGTTAGTACATGTTGAAAACCCTTAACTGAATTCCTAACCTTAAATTCTAACTCTCAATCTTGATCTTAATTTCTATTATTAATCTGTAACCCTCTTTTGACCCTGATAATTAAGTGAGTTGTCTCAAGGTCATTTTAGTGTCACCTGAAGGTCGTCTATAAATTAAGATCTGACTGTTTATAAATTTTCCTTCAAATTTCATTCGTGGATTAGTTGAAATCAGACATTAACACCGTTTTTGAAGTGTTTTCACTTCTACGCGAAATTTGTGCCGATGATGTCGTTCAGAAGAACGATGAAAGCTCCACGACCAAACCATCCAGCTCAGAGAACAAAATTCCATCAAAAGCATTCACTCGGGCTACAAATCTTCTCCACCACTTCATTAATACCGTTAGATACCGGCTTATTGATGCAAAGGTTAGGCGTTCGCGCGTGAGACTGAAGGTCTTAGGTTCGAATCTCGAGTATGGGATCGTGGATGAACACCACTGAGGAGTCCCATACTAGGACGAAATGACCGTCCAATGCTTCCAGGTTTTCCATGGTGGTCTAGCTTCAATTGAATTATGATTTCAACTGTAAAATCATGGTTTATGTAAACTAAGTATTAGACAGAAAAATAACTCAAATAAGAACTCATGAAACGAGAAGTACATAGTTAAAGAATAGTAAAGTGTATCACAATAGTTGACAGATCCGAAGGAATATTACAACATCAAGAATATACATACAATAATTTAGTTATCTAACGATTATGTAATGAACAGAGTGAACATCAACTCTGAGATGTAAGTACATCCAGCTGACGAGTCCCAAATAGGAGAAAACGCTCGTCCTGGATTCCGCTGCTAGCCACTGTCCATCTTTGCTAATAAACAATAATAGTTCAGAAAATAGTGTCTGAGGTTCTAACTTCTCCGGTACTCGCTCCAATAAAACACATTAGGTATAGGATTTCATGTTAACTCAAAATGCTCTTTAACTTTTGATCTCATGCTTCATGTCTGTGGAGGAGCATAGGCCGCACACCAGCATTCTCCATCCAACTCTGTCCTTGGCAATCCTTTTTAGTTATCTCCAGTTAACATTCATCTTTTTCATATCTGCTTCAATCTCCCGGAGTAATGTGTTCTTTGGCCTTCCTCTTTTCCACTTTCCTTCTGGATTCCAAGTTAGGGATTGCCTCTTGATGCAGTTTGGTGATTTCCTTAATGTATTTCCGATCCAATTCCAACGTCTTTTTTTAATTTCCTCTTCAGCTTGAAGCTGATTTGTCTTCTCCCATAAAACGCTGTTGCTGATAGTATCCAGCTAGTAAATGTGTGTAAGTAATAATGATTTGTAAATATCGTAACCAAGACGTGTTGATAAACTCAAACAAATTGAACATTGAGTGCATTGTTCATAATGATAAAATAGTTTGCATCACTCACTAACGTTAATTAGACAGTCACTGAAAACTGAGAAGCAATCGAGAGTTAATTCGTTGTAATATGAAACTTCTAGGCAGTGTACACATATGACTACACCAGGGATCAAACCTAAGACTCTCAGCACAGTTCATTCTCTCCAGGAAATAATTTGAAGAGCTAGTTACCGGTGTTTTTTTGATAAGCTATGACCTATGGAGTTCACTCATATCATATGTGAGGTTATCTACCAAAGGCAATGGAAGATGATTACTTAATACCGCGGACGGATTCGAGTTGAAATTACAAATCACTGGATACCTATTCAGTGGTCTTAGACTTAAGCGTTCACCTAGATGCCTAAAGATACTGAGTAAGTAATATAGAGTGTTATATCTAGAGCTTTGATTCTTTCGATGCCACTTACTACTACTAGACTACTTGAACAATCGAATCGGCAACCTCGCAAGAGAGAAGACAGAAAACTAGTAAGTAGGGATTTTATTACCCAAACAGTTTCAAATATAGTACAAAAATCTCATGTATTTATAGTATTTTGGCTGAAAGTAAATCATCATTTCGGACAGCCACTAGGCATATAGGGGATCCTTCTTATTCATCCAATAGAGAGGCTACACTTCGACATTCTAGAATGTTCCCCTAGTGGTGATTGGATGGAATGTCTTCGGTTCTTTCTGAGCTTCTTTAGGCTTCCTTAAGTTTACCAACGAGCCATCCTTACATAGAACAACAAAACAAAATAGTTGATACTATCTAAACAAATTACATCACACTAATACCACATTAATCAGCTCATAGGTAAGACAATCTATATTCATGTGTTTTTGAGTGATCATGAAAAATGTGAAATTTTGTAATTTGATGGATTATAGCTGAATTGTATGTATGTTAATGGTGTGAGAATTGAACGGATTAAATATTGGTTCAAGTCATTTGGTTAGTTAATCATTTCTATCAGCTTAGAACAGTATGGTTTGGTAATACGTGTTAAGGTTTAGGTACTTAGCATTCTTTATGTTTGGAAATACCTTTCTGAATTCTTTTTGTTCATATCTAAGTTGGTTAAGCACTTTTGTTAACTTATTTAACGGACAGAGTCATTAGTACAATAACAACCTATCTGTACTATTGTACCTTTATTATGTACGCTTGAGCATTGTTTACTGCCTACGCATATATTTATTTTGCTAGACTTACTATTAATCGCTTAATTAATTCAATGATTGATTCATTTCACTTATGTATATGTATATATGTACATCTTGATCCTGTTTACTGTACTGCTGACTCGTTGAATCGCACACTCGTTTATTGACTCGATCACTTACTCGCTCTCTCTCTCATTCGGCTTCTACGCTCACTCACTGGCTTTACAGCATTACTCTTTCATGCTTGCTTAATGTGCCTGTAATTTTGGATATCTGTGCATGGTTCAATAATAAATGCAATCAACATTTCGTATTCGCCTTCTGATTTATACACCGTTGGAGAGTAATTGAGTAACTGTTATCAGGATGAACAATATACGAAGTTTAAGGATAATATCGAATATCGACCACCACAGATATTTTTTTAAAATGTCAATTTGATAGATTTTGGAAATGTCATGCAACTCTATTATCAGTGTGATTTGCAGATTTTCTATGCGTTTGAAAATGTTTTATACCACCTATACATATTTAACATTGAGTATCTGATACATAACTTCTACCTTTTACAATTGCAAGATCATTTCAGCCACAGAGAGATTAAGCTATTACGAATAACAGTAAATGCTGTTTGTTTTTTTAAAGAACTTTTATAGTTATCATTAAGCCATAGCTTAGTAGATAAAAAGCTTTTGGGTTTAAAGCTATAGGTAACCGTTTTCATGTACATGAAAGCTGATATATCAATACATATAATTGACGACTACCAAACATTACGTAAAGCTCCTCCAATTAGTCACTATTTTAGAAACATAATGAAGTTTTGATAGATCGGAAGATTTCATTGCATTTGTAGAAGGAGTACATTTGTTAACAGAGATTCAAGAATATCATTAAGAAGAAAACACAAACATATCTGAAAAGTAATAGGTTATATCACTGTAAGATACCAACTTGAAAAAAAGTTGAAAACAAGGTGGAAAGTAAATAATACATCAATATTGGTTTCGACTTAGTGTGGAATGATATGCTTTCATTGATGAAACAGGCGT